AAAAAAAAAAAAAAAAAGGAAAAGAAAAATCAAGTTTTCAGATGCAAATGGCTTAACTACTATAGTGGCTTGTGTAAATTTTTTCTATCAAAGTAAGAGTGTTGAGTTTAAGTGATTCGAACTTGGGTTAGATAAATAAACAACGAAAAAAAAATTTGCTGCTAGCTAGTTATAAGATCCGAAAAAATAAATCTATCCATTAAGCCCAGACCAAACATTCTTAACTGACAAATAATTGTGCGATTCATTACAAAAAATTTTTAAAAAAGAATTGTGCGATTAAAATCCCCAATAATACAAAAGCCTTGTCCGAAGAGTTGAGTGGGCGCAAATCAAGCCCGACCCAACCACATAAGCTTATAGGCTCGCAAATTTTAGAGTGACTTTAACCAAGAAACCTAGGAGTCGAGGTGCAATGCAAAGACAATATTTTGATGAAGCCATAGATAATTATCTAAAGAAACATAAGTGGACCAAAGTACCCATTCATAGGTAATGTGATGAGACTTGGGTTGTGACTTGTGCCTTAACAAATAACACAACAACCTACACTACATTTGCTTGGGAGATGATAATGAGAAGAGTTTGTTGTGAGCATTGAAAACATTAGATCCCATATTGATTCGAGGTCCGGGGTTTTAGAAATAAGACGTGTATAAGAACTCTTGTAGAATCTTTAAATATCAATGGGTTTGGTAAACACTATTGTACGACCTTTTCAATTACTACAAAATTCCTTCATCTGTTTGCATTGCGTTGGCTTTTCAGCTGTGGGGTTCATAAAAATCCAGTGAACTCATTACCGTATGTGGTGCCTAGGTTGGAAACTCTCATCACCCTTCTCCTTCAACACCAAACAGGTCGATTATGGTTTATTCTAGTTTTCGACTGAGTCAGATTCTTTAGAGGATTTTTTGAAGTACATATTTTCATGAACTGACTGATATTTTTTTTTTTTGAAAAAGAAATTTTTATTTAAGCCACTCGCCTAATAAATAGCATGAACTTTTCAATTTTGATTTGAGATGGAGTTGCTATGAACTCCAATTAACTTTTGTGTTAGTTTTTCGATTTTTTTCTTTAAACTTGCAATCCTTCTCATTTTTTTCAAAAAAATATCTTTTTGATTTTTTCATCTCTAATAGAAAAATTACAAGCTTTTAATCACTAGAAAGAAGAAAAATTACAATATCTCATTTAAAATGCCCAAAGAAAAATATGATCAACGTCGCCTGCGCCTAGCTCTACCATTACTACTAGTACTAGAGCTAGAGGTGCTTGTTTCCCCAGAATTAGAGTCTCTAATTCTGATCCGTTGCTGCAGGTGAGTTTGCACCCTTCCTCGGAGAATCCCCAACGCAGCATAAAATTGTTGGAACTCCTCTGGGCTCATATTTTCCATCCGTTTACTCCACCATTGAACCCCTTCTGCAGCTATCTGATTAAAGCTGCTCCCACTCTGCTGATCCCCTAATACCTGAGAAAGCAACTCGCCATCATTCAGATT